ACTCCCCCTCCTCTCCCTCTCTTATACACCCTACAACAGCTGAGTCATCAGAAAACTTCTGCAGGTGACATGACTCAGAATTGTACTGAAAGTCAGTGGTGTACACGGTGAAGAGGAAGGAAGAGAGCACAGTTCCCTGTGGAGCTCCTGTATCACTGACCACCACATCAGACAGGACACTGCCCAGACGGACAAACTGTGGCCTGCCTGTCAAGTAGTCAGTAATCCAGGAGATCCTTGTGTCGTCGACACCCATCACCCGCAGCTTCTCACCCAGCAGCAGAGGCTGAATGGTGTTGAAAGCACTGGAGAAATCAAAGAAAGTGATCCTCACAGTGCCTCCTCCACCATCCAGATGCAAATGGGCTCGTTGCAGCAAGTAAATGACAGCATCGTCAACTCCTAAGTGGGACCGGTAGGCAAACTGCAAAGGGTCCAGAAACGTCCTCACCTGTGGCCTCAGCTGGGCTAAGACCAGTCTCTCCAGGACCTTCATCACATGTGATGTGAGGGCGACCGGTCTGTAGTCTGCTGGGTCGGATGGCCTCGGCTTCTTGGGGACAGGAACCAAGCACAACGTCTTCCACAGCAACGGGACTTTCTCCTGACTCAGGCTGAGGTTGTAGAGATGTCCCAGTACAGGAGACAGCTGGCTGGCGCAGATCTTCAGGATCCTGGGTGTGATGCCATCAGGGCCTGCAGCCTTGCGCTGATGTAGTCTTTCCAGCTGCCTCTTAACCTGGCCTGTAGTCACACGGGGGATGGTGCAGATGTCCTCAGTGGAGGAGGAGGAGGGGAGGGTGGTGGTGGAGAGGTGCTGTACAGGAGAAGGCTGGGGGGAGGGTTGAGCCATTTGGGACAGTGTGAGTGTGTGGGGGGCTGGAGGTGTCAGAGGGGTGGCAGGAGGTGAGCTAAACCTGTTAAAAAACTGGTTGAACTGGTTCGCTCTATCCAGGCTCCCAGGTGTCTGCCTGTCCTTCCCCTTCATCCCCGTGATGTACTTCATTCCAGCCCACACGTCCCTCACACTATTTTGCTGGAGTTTGGCCTCCAGCTTCCTCCTATAATTGTCCTTGCACATCCTCAGCATATCCCTGAGTTCGTGCTGCACTCTCCTCAGCTCCTCTCTGTCTCCAGACCTGAAAGCCTTCTTCTTTTTGTTCAGAAGTTCCTTCAGGTCACTGGTAATCCAGTGCTTGTTGTTAGGGAAGCATTGGACGGTCCTGGCTGGCATGGTGGTGTCCTCGCAGAATCTGATGTAATCCGTAACGCAGTTGGTCATCCCATCGATGTCCTCCCCATGTGGCTCACATAACACGTCCCAGTCTGTGGACTCGAAGCAGTCCTGCAGTGCCTCAGCAGCCTCTGGTGTCCACCTCCTCACCACCCTGGTGTGCACCGGCTGCCTTTTCACAAGTGGGACATACTTCGGGGTCGTCAAGACCAGGTTGTGGTCTGACCTGCCGAGGGGAGGGAGGGCTGCGGCGTCATATGCGTCCATGGTATTGGTGTATAATAAATCCAGTGTTTTATTGTCTCTGGTGGGGCAGTTAACATACTGGTGAAAGTTACTGAGAGTATTGTTCAGTGAGGCATGATTGAAATCACCAGTAATAACCATGAACGCATCTGGATGATCAGTCTGCAGTTTAGCAGCGGCGGAGCTGATGACGTCACAGGCCACCGCTGCATCAGCTGATGGTGGGATGTAGACAGCAATAACAATGGTAGATGTAAACTCCCTTGGCAAATAATACGGGCGCAATCCCACAGCCAGCAGTTCAATGTCCGGGGTACAGAGACGTTCCTTCACTCTGACATGTCCAGGGTTGCACCACCTCTCACTCACATAAAGTACAAGCCCGCCGCCTTTCTTCTTCCCACTTTTAGAACAGTCTCTGTCTCCACGTACCAAACTGTAACCGGTGACCTCCACACTGCTGTCCGGGATGTTGGAGTGTAGCCAAGTCTCACTGAAGCAAAATAAGCTACACTCGCAGTATTCCCGTTGAGTCCTCACCAGCGCTGAGAGCTCGTCCGTCTTGTTCGCCAAAGACCTCACATTTCCCATTATTATCGCTGGGACCGCTGGCCTAAAAACCTCCTAAGAGCTTTCCTTACTTCCTCCTATATCAACATGATTTCCTTTTTCTTCCATTTTAGTAGAAACAAGCTTGTCTCTGTGGTGTTCCTCCACTGTACGTCACATCCAGTCCCTGATTGGATGTCCTGATCCATAAAGGGACAGATTTCTGGATGCAATCATCAAAAACTTGCTATTTGCTTCACTAGAACCACTTCCTTCCCCTGGGTTCCTTAGTGGCCCCTCGCTCTCACAGGGACATCATGGATCCTCCTTGGAGAAGATTTTGCGTTTAGTGGGAACGCACCTCAAGGAGGGGAACCCTGCCTGCATGTCTGACAGGAAAAAAGTCCCCCGGCTGTATTTACATCACGTCCTCCTGGTTATCTACGTTTATAGCTTAAATAGCTGCTCCCACATGTTGACATATAACATTCAAAATTATTATTTAAACTATTTAAACAATAGTGTGCTATTTTTATTGTTTAAAATAGGAATCAGGATAAGTCAACATGAAGGCAGCAGTTTCCTGTTTCAGCTGCATTTGTTTAACCACAGCCAATGTTTTTCAGTAATTCAGGTTTTTAAAACAGGAAGAGATTAAAAGAATTACATCTGGCTTTCTAATATAATCGCTTTTCAACAGGTTTCTGTTCTGCAAAATAGAGGAAACACAGATATATAATAATGATCATTAGAAACAGAAAAGAGCACAGCTAAAGCAGTTTTATTTTGACTGCGGACAGCGTTCAGCAGATGGCAGGCATATGTTTCAGAAAATAATTCATCTTTTGTTCTATACAGGGGCCAACAGGGGCCAGTGGCCCATAGAACTGGTCCTGGTCCCTGTTATTGCTTCTTTACTGAAGATTTAATACCAAACAAGTTTTATATGATCATATGTATTTCCATAGACCTGATTTTGTAAATGATTTGGAAGAGAAGGTGTTGCTCCTTTAGCTTCAGATGTGTTGAAATAAGATCCTCGCTGTTATCAGAGCCTCTTTAGATAAATGAGGGGCTCTTGGATCATTTTATATATTAATCTATAAACTATTGCTCTGTTCAATGTTTTATTCTTTTGCTCTTTATCCCAAAAAAGCTCCACATTTGGGAGAAAATAGATTCCACCGATGAAACTTGAAAAAAATCTATTAATTTTTGTATTTTTCTATTAGGTTTTGTTTGCTGTTTTCTCAGTTTTTATTTTTCCAATTATTATTAAAGTTTAAATTTCTTCTTTAACCATTTAATTTTTTTAATTTCATTTAGAAATTTTTTAAAACAAAAAATATTTTACAGATTCTGTATTTTTAGTCTGTGTTTTCAATTTATTTATTTTTTTAAGATTGAGTTGTACAAACTTTAAATCACATTTACTTCACTTTTCAATTATCTGCACAGATGACAGATGAAGGGTTAATATTATTGATATGATAATTAAAAAGGAGAATGCAAATAGCAAAACTCAATCTGAACAATAAATATAAAAAAGATCTAAAATACGCAAAGAAAACATAAAATGAGAGAAAACAAATTAGACAATTTGAAATCTGTAAAAAACTGTGTAGTTTTTTTTTTGGAAAAATGTAAAGTTGACAACATTTAATACGAAAGATAAATGTGGAAAAAATAAAAATTGAAATAACATAAATGTGAAAACAGCAAAGTTAATGTCATAATCTTTTATTAAAATGATTTTCAAAATTTTATTTCTGGATTACATTTTTTTTTTTTTTTTCAAATTTTAATTAAAAATATGAATTTTTGTTTTTTATTTCAAATTCACATTTACACAATGTGTTTTTTTTTTGTTTTTTTTTACCTTGCAACAATAATGGAACATTATATCAGCTGTGCTGCTGCCATCAACATCTTTGTTTCTAGATGTTGGAGCTTGGCCTGTTTTTTTTTCCAGTGTAGTCCTGTTTCTCTGACTGTGACTAACTGGATGTGCTCTCTTCATCCTCTGACATGGGAGCTGGCTCGGAGCTGGTCTGCCTGGCTGTGTGTTTCCTGGACGGGGCCGCCTGTGGAGCTGGTTGACAGTTGCCTTTTGTATCTATGCTTCTTTTTCTATGTCTGCTTCTGTCTCCTTGAACCCCAGTGGGCCTCAGCAGATGGCCGCTCACACTGAGCCTGGTTCTGCTGGAGGTTTCTTCCTGTTCAAAGGGAGTTTTTCCTCTCCACTGTCGCTACAAGCATGCTTAGTGTGAGGGATTGCTGAAGAGTCAATGAGTCGATGCAATCAGCTGGTTTTCCTTAGATAGAAAACTTTGAATCAATCTGACTGGATGATCTGGTGAACTGGAAAGTGACCTGAGATGACATGATGTGAATTGGCGCTATAGAAATAAACTGAATAGAATTGGAACAAAATTATCTCCTCATTATGGCCAATTAATATTTAGGTTTGACAAAAAAACAAAAACAAGCAGATGAACAACTAAAGTACCTGTGTGGATAAATGTCAATGCTTTATTTAGGCCGTTAGGGGGCGCTCCATTGCAGCCTGAGAAAGCGCTGCCTTTAATCAGATCCAAAAACAGAATGTTTCTCAAAAAGCAGCTAAAAGACGCTGGAAGACATGAAGAAATGAGGCTTATTGAACTCTGTGAAATAATTTAGGCTGGAAATAGTTTCAAATATATCTGCGGCCTAAAAAGTACTTTAAAAAACAACCTAAACACTTTAGTAACACCGCCTTGCCGCAGGAAGGAACATTTAGAAAGTTTATCAAAGATCCTAAAGGATAAAAAACAACGTATTAATCAGAGGGACGTGATTCTGCTCTCCATCCTTACAGGCTATTTAAAGGGTAGGAAGGTAAATCTTCGCCTCCGCAGCTCACAAACCTCTCAGCCAATCACAACAGGAAGGCGACGCTCTCAGCCAATCAGAGCAGGAAGGCGACCCTGTCAGCCAATGGCAGAACAGGAATGCGACCCTGTCAGCCAATGGCAGAGCAGCGTGAGCCCATTCTGGTTTAGGCGAAGCACCGTGGATCGGAGCGTGTTGGTTCTGAGCTTCACTAAACTCTCAACGTTTTCTTTCATTTCCAGCAACATTCGGTGAGTAAAACAAACATCCGCCGTTTATTCTCCGCTCCTTTATTCCACAGAGACTCTAATGGCGGCGGACTGACCGGGTTTAACTTCTCACCGCCGCTCCGCTTGGTCTCACTTTACCAAAGTTTTTCTCTTTAACCAAGAGATGAAACAAAGTTTTTTTTAGCTTTTATTTCCGTTGCTTCTGTTCAGCAACAAGCAGCGCTCCTGTCTTCCTGACCTAGTTGGGCCCCAGCTTCAGAATAAAAATAGAAAAAAATAAAGAGGCGTTTTTTTCTGTTTGTCGATGCAGGCGGTGGTTTGTGCAGAACTTTAACCTCCTGAACCACACGAGCTGTCTCTGAGGTGCTCAGGGGCCCTGAGCTGGGGCCCCTGAGAGCAGGGCCCCTGCTCTATAACCTCAATTTAAACTACTCTATTTCCACATTTGATTGAATTTTATTCTGATTTTTTTCCTCATTATTAATATGAAAGTGACTAATTAGCAATGTTGAAGAACTTATTAAATATCAATTAACTCCTTAAGTTTACTTTAAGTTGAACTAATATGAAATAAGCAAGAGTTAGATTTTATTAAACGTTATTCATAGCTGTGTGTGTCATCGTGTCAGTGGGTGGATTCCCACAGCTTTTTAAAATTTTTTTTTCTTTTATTGTCTTTCCACTGTCACATGTACAGAGCTATGAAATTCAGTGCGCTGCCACTTTGCGGCGCCCAGGGAGCAGTCAGGGGTTAAGGGTCTTTCTCAGGGACCCAGAGTGGCAGGTGTGGGTTTCCAACTCACAACCTCAGGATTCCAAGCTCTATGCCCTGATCACTAGGCCGCCGCTCCCCCAGCGGAGAGGAACTCTGCTGTGGAGCAGCACTGAAAAAAACCAACTAGAAATAAGTCAAAATGTCTTAAATAAAGTGTGTTTATCCTTAATTTGAGCAGGTAAATGAGATGTATTGCCAATAGAATGAGTATTTTTACTCTTAAAATAAGATAATTAGATAAAATGATCTTGAAATAAGACGATGAAATATTTTTTTTCTTATTCTAAATATAAATTGTCTTGTTCCATTGACAAAGTGTCTCATTTACCTCCTCAATTGAAGAAGAAATGCAGTTATTTTAAGAAAAATGCCAGATCTAGATTTGGATTTTTCCAGTGAGGGTTCCTCAGTCCTGGCCCCCAATCCAAACTCTCAGGTTCTGGACTCTGGAGAGCCGGACTGCATCCTGAGGAGGTAATTCATTAGAACTGATCCTGATCCAATATCAGACGTCAGGTGAAAATAAAGGATTGAGTCGGCCTGATATTGACCTGCTGATAAAGGAGGCTGGGCTCCTCATGACAGATGGGGCTCTATAACTTTTTTCCAAAAAGATTTGGCCTCATGTACTTAAACCATGTGTTTAGTTTTCTTTGTGTTAAACTAGAGTTAAGGACACAGTTGCTGACATGTGATCCAATCAGGTTTTCTATTTTTAAAGTAAAACCTTGTATAACGCTGTGTTCCCATTTATTTCAGCGAGGATCCACTCTCCGACACTTATGAGATAAATCTAGATCATGCCAGGTTATATTAACCAAATTAAAACGTTTTCCTCTATTATCTTTGATGTTGCTGCCATTTACTGTAAAAATGTCCATAGCTGAATATTGGTTATTTATTCTCCAGGTGAACAGTTTGATATCATTATAACACTTTACAGGACAGTTTTTTTATTGCTTATTTTTTAACTCCTCAGTAATTTGTTATTCTTTTACATTTTCTAAGGTTTTTGCTGCTGTAAACACCAGAATTCCTCCATTATGGGACAATAAAGGGATTTTCTATTCAATTCTATGCAAAGAAAGTAACTTTAAGCCCAGTTCACAGCGGCTTTTTAATCTCTGTTCAGAATGTTTTTATTTCTTTTTCTTCGTGTCACACTGGCTGCATGTAGAGAGGCTCCGACTACGCAGGGTGAGCAGATCTGTGCAGATCTGTGCAGATTTTTTCACTGCTGCCTCTGTTCCACAAAATTTGAAACTATTTCCCATGTTTTATTTTAAGTTAGAAAAACAAAAAAATAGACTTTGCAGCTTTAAAAAAGCCAAGCTTAATGGAACTCTGCAGGATCTATTAAACCGGCACAGATAGAGAATTGTATAGGTCTATATTATATTAAAAACATAATGGGAACTATATTTAAAGAAAAGAATAAGTCAGCATTAAAGGCTGTGCGTTCATACTCCTTCATTGTTGAGTCTGTTTTAAAAAAAAGTATTATAGAGTCTGTCCCGCCTGCTATATATGCGGTGTGTGACTTTTTCCCTGTACGATTAACAGATTTTATTTTATATTTTCCCCTGAATGTATTTTACTTTGTAACTGCGTCTCTCCTCCTGTCAGATCCATGGAATTGCTGCAGAATTGCTGCATTTCCCGACTAAAGTAGACCTGGGCTCCTATCCCAGTCGGAGCTACGCTGGCCCCTGCAGGAAATCGTCCTCTTTGACTTTAATTAGCGATACACGCCGCGACCTCTAAGACACGATTATCTGTCGGATCGAATGCAGAATCAGATTCGGCGTGTTCTCGCCGTTAGTTGTTCATTTAGTAAATAAACCCCCAAAATAACTGTGGTGACGCCCAACAAATACATAGAATTATACTTCACTCCAGATTAATTTATACTTATAAAGTAAAAAAAGGACTTTCATTTCTGAATACATTTATTTTTACTAATTTAATGTATCTATTTAAATTGAGTTTGTTTTTTTTAATGGGAAATTTATTTATTTAATTGTGCATTGTATAATTTGATGGTTTCTATAATGTTTAAGTCGTGTGTTGAATAAATAAATGTTACATTTACTGATTTATGATAGATTTCTTTCTTTCATGGGAAATAAATATTTGCATATTTCATGATATATCTCCTCCTTGGGAAGAAGTCGGGTTCAGATCAGCCAGAAAAGAAGAAGAAATAACTTTCATCCAAAATAAAGGATTTAGATATTTGATCAAACCAGAAAAACTCTTTAGAATCTAACTTCATGTTTAGGCTTTTTTACTGGAGGATAGAAAACATCTTTATATGAGGGGCTTTAAATCTGGCTGGGAGGGGGAGCCGGGTGCGTACGGAGTGAATTTTGTTCCATTATTGTTGCAAGAAAAAAGGTTTGCAAATGGAAAATACATTTTTATTTTTTTTGTTTTTATATTTTGTACATTGAAACTAAACACAAGTAATCCATCAATTAAACTTTGAAAACAGTTTCTATAATTAAAGATTTGGAGAGTAACTTTGCTTATTTATTTTTCTTTTTTCAATTAAAATTTTTTCAAATTTAACTTTAAAAATTTGACTATATATTTTCAATTTTTTTCTGCTTTTTTAGATCAAGTTTTGAATGAAGTTTTAACTGAATTCTGTCTAAATTGCGTTTGTCAGATCCCATGCTTGAAATCTCGAGTCGCTCTTGACGTGCAGCACGGCGACCGATCAAATTTTAAGAACCGTGCCGACCAATAGAAATGCATCTTTGCTCCTTTCTACAGAGAAAAGTCTTCTAGAAAAGAAGAGAAAGTGATCTGATTTGGAAAACAGACATTTACAGAAAAAGAAGTAGAAAATTTTAAATCTGTAAAAATAAATTTTTTTGAAAATATAAAAATTTTACCCAATAAAATCTGTAAAAACATAAAAAACAAAACAATTTGAAGATAAAAAAGGAAATTACCCAAAACTTTTTTTGATTAAAATGTTTGTCATAGTTTTATTTGTGCTTAACTTTTTTTTTTCTTCAAATTTCCATTTACAAAATGTGTTCAACATTTCAACAATAATGGAACAAACTTCCCTCCATAGTTACTGAGGGAGCAAAGCTATCAAAGTTTGAATCGCTGACGGGTCCAAACTGCTTTCTGACGCCGTTTAGAGTAAAAGACTTGATGGAAGGCGGCGAACGCAAACGTTCAGCAGTGAATGCATGATGTGCATTTATCCGTTATCATCTGTTCTTGTCTCTGCAGGAGGAATGATGGGGGAAATAGAGGGTTCGTACCGGGTCCTGCAGACCCCGGGCACCAGGCTGGGAGCCCAGTTCAACGCTGGTATCAGCACCTTGGAGCCGGGCCAAAGCCTCAGCGCCAACATGCTCGGCCAGAGCAAAAGCCACGGGCGGGGTCTCCAAATCCGAGTGCAGGGACTGGACGACTCCCAGGAGTTCTTTGACATAGACGTGAGTTTTAGCAGTTGTTCCACTGAGGGTGGGGGGGTCAGCCTGTTTTATTTACTCCCAGATAAGCCTGCTGTTTGTCCCGCTGCAGGCTGCATGTCTCGGTTGCCCTGCTTGCGTGCAGCTTTGGGTTGGTGACAGCTGCCACATGGCTTTGGTGCTAAAATCCCCGCCTGTTAAGGCTTCTTATTGCATTCCAGCTCTCTGTGTCTCTGTCCAGGACTCTTCTCAGTCTCTGAAACACCTCTTCATGTTGGAAAGTTTATAAAAACTGATTTTCTTTCTCTGACTAAACCTACCCAGTGGTGTTTTGTTTTGCTCTTGTTTTAGTTTGCTTCGTTCCTCCGTCCTCACAGCGTTTCTCACCCGTTTGCAGGAGGGGCTCCTTCAGCAGACTCATAGGAAGCAATAAGGAAGCAGCTTTATCAGCATGTGTTTCTTGTCCCTTCCTGCAGTGAGAATACTATCAAAGTGGACTCAGCCAGACGGATTAAACACTCTGTTCAATGGCTGATTTATGGAGAAGTGCAATCCTGGGGCTGGGCAGCTAGAAAAAGACCTATTTCTTCCTCTCTCCAGGTGTCCTAAATCTTCCACAGTAACGGTTCCAGCAGAGGCGGTTTGGGAGCTCCGCTTATAATCTCATTCACCATATGTTGCTGCAAAGTCTGACGCTAATAGAGCGCAACAGATTTAAGTTTGATTTGTAAGGAAATGGCTCAGTCTGCAGAAAATAAATCCTTCCATTTATTGGTTCTATTCCTTTGCTGAGTCACTAGAAGCTGGCATGATGGGAGCCGGGTATCTCTGATGGGAAGACAGAACTACTGGGAAACAGGAGGGCAATGACTGCTGCACTGTTGTCAAGCAGGCTGCAGTTTTGGCAAGAACAAGATGGCTCCCTAAGAGGCTCTGTTGTTCGTCTACGTTGCCTCCAACGTCGGTTCATTCATTCGGAGGAGCCGTGGGTGGAAGGCTGAGGAGTTTTATAGCCATCCCCAGCAACAGTATTTAAACTTCTCTACAGTATATCAGGCTTACAACTAGAAACCACAAAGTGTTTTAGGTGATTTTATGTGATAGATCAACAGGTAACTATTGTGGAGGAGATTGTTTGTAGATTTTAATCTGATTCCAAAAGAAGAAAATTAAATCTACTGGACTTTATTTCCCAGTTTGAAGACGTTTCTTTTCATCCAGGAAGCTTTTTCAATTAAAAATGTCAACAATAGCGTTTAGTTCCAGGTTTTATACATTGCAGGCTAATAAAAGAACCCAAATTACCCCAATCTTAAGGAGGTGGACCCGTTCGTCCGTTCAGATTTACATGTTTTCTGAACTAAAACCAGGCTTTGTTGGGCTGCTGGATAAAACCTGGAACTAAACGCTATTTCTGATATTTTGAATTGAAAAAGCTTCCTGGATGGGAAGCGAAACGTACACGCAAATAAACAATAACAAGACATGTCAGGAGTCATTGTCTATGGCTGGATCTGAAGCTGTTAATCAGTGGATGTAGCCTGATGATGCAACAGACTATCCAGAAAAGGAGACAAAGGACAAACTAAACTATTAACTGCAGCTTTTAGAGGAGCAGAGGCAGCGACATATGAGAGGATAAATACAGGGTCTGTCAGATTTCACTGTCCCTCCTCTCTACACCTCCATCCACGCTGTCCTCCATGTTTGATGGAATTGTTTTTGTTCCGCGCTGTCCGTACCGAGTGACATCATCATCACAGTAAAACACCAGCATCAGATTAGAGAAAGACAAATTCTTTCAGACCTGACCTGATAACTCAGGAAGAATATAATCCGAGTCACTTAATGGTAAAAACTAAGATAAAATTATAGATTCTGATTTCAGTCCGTTCAGCAAAGAATCACGATCACTGAGTCTGGGAGCGGCCATTTTCCCCCAAATATAGTAGCCCCTCCCTCCTGCCATCTTCCAGCAGTGATGTCACGGTGCGGTAAGCCTAGCGCCATTCTCCCCGCTTTACAAGCTAAATCAATGGGAACTACTAGACACATCTGCAATCAACAACAATTATTGAAGATTTCCAGAGGACTTCACCATTGAAATTCACCAGAGCTATAGTGAAACTGACAATGCCCACGTGCATGGCAGCTGGATGCTGGAATACATCGGGTAAAAGTGAATAAAAGAGTTATTCCACCTTTCTGATTCCTGATCCTCCACGGACGGGTTGGTCGTTGGATCGCCAACTTGAAGAGGGAGGATTTGCCATCGAACTTCTGGCCAGAGAAAAAACCCGTAATATGTAGCCAACATTTGGAAGAAGAATGTTTTCAAGATGACTTGGATAATAGCGCGTTGTGACAAACACCAGATACAGCACTGGGACTTGATCAACAGCCGATACCGCACCGTGACGTCACTAACCAGTAGGTGGCAGTAGTGTTCTTTGACAAACATGGATGCCTCCAGTAAAGCACATTCACATGAAAATTACTCTGAATTAAAAACACTGATCATTTATTGAACAGGATGGAATCATTTCAGATTTAAAGAACTTTCTGAAGTTTGGATTCTGAATGACAATGAATGAAAATTAATGATTCTATAGGGTATCTGGTCCTTCAGGTCTCTAATAGGGTGATAGAATGATTCTATAGGGTATCTGGTCCTTCAGGTCTCTAATAGGGTGATAGAATGATTCTATAGGGTATCTGGTCCTTCAGGTCTCTAATAGGGTGATAGAATGATTCTATAGGGTATCTTGTCCTTCAGGTCTCTAATAGGGTGATAGAATGATTCTATAGGGTATCTGGTCCTTCAGGTCTCTAATAGGGTGATAGAATGATTCTATGGGGTATCTGCTCCTTCAGGTCTCTAATAGGGTGATAGAATGATTCTATAGGGTATCTGGTCCTTCAGGTCTCTAATAGGGTGATAGAATGATTCTATAGGGTATCTGGTCCTTCAGGTCTCTAATAGGGTGATAGAATGATTCTATAGGGTATCTGGTCCTTCAGGTCTCTAATAGGGTGAGAGAATGATTCTATAGGGTATCTGGTCCTTCAGGTCTCTAATAGGGTGATAGAATGATTCTATAGGGTATCTGGTCCTTCAGGTCTCTAATAGGGTGATAGAATGATTCTATAGGGTATCTGGTCCTTCAGGTCTCTAATAGGGTGAGAGAATGATTCTATAGGGTATCTGGTCCTTCAGGTCTCTAATAGGGTGATAGAATGATTCTATAGGGTATCTGGTCCTTCAGGTCTCTAATAGGGTGATAGAATGATTCTATGGGGTATCTGCTCCTTCAGGTCTCTAATAGGGTGATAGAATGATTCTATAGGGTATCTGGTCCTTCAGGTCTCTAATAGGGTGATGGAATGATTCTATAGGGTATCTGGTTAGGGCTGCAACTAACGATTATTTTGAAAATCGATGAATCGGCCGATTATTTTTTCGATTAATCGATGAATCGGACACAAAATATTTTTTTTATATTAACCTCTTTATTCCAAAATAAACATTTTAGACAGAACAAACAAGCACACAAGTACAGGTTTCTCATTAACTGTACTGGTGCAATATGAAAAATAAATGTTTGTTTTAAAACTACGCAAACTTACATGAGAAATGTAGCTGTACATCCACAAAATATAGGGTACTTTGTTTCATAAAGCGCAAAAAGAGACAGGCATTTTTGTTTTTTAAAGCCCCTAAGGGGTTCAAACAATAGGCCCCCCCATTTCAACAAATGAGGTTTTTTTAGACTAGAAGAGTTCTGCCTTTTAAGACAGGAAAGTATAGCAGTTAAAGTTGCTACTTGAGAAAATACTGAACCATAGAGATAAAAATAGCCCTGTGATTCAAATTATAAACTGTATTTGGAATAAAAATGAGAGAACTAGGGGTGCTAAAAAACACATCCTCCAAAGACAGATATTTACATGGGAATGTGGCAGATAATTAATTGACATATTACTGATCTTGCTGGATTTTATTCTGCTTTACTTCCATAAATTGCAGGATCTTCTTTACTTTATCTTTGCCAGAAGATTTAAACTTTAAAAGCCTTGCCCTCATAATTTGCAAATTAATTTATTTATAAAGAAAATATAAACGCTGCTTAAGCTAATTCAAATGAAATTAAAAGTAAAATAAGTAGCCAACCTTATCACTGTCTGTAACCTACTAACACGGTAAGGAAAGCATCAGATGAGCTACCTGAGAAACTAACTTACGTTTCCCCACTTTAAAACCAAACAAACATGGTTACTCATCCTGCTGATCAGCTCTCTTCACTGCCATTGAAGGCTCCAACGTGTTTTCTTTTCAGATGCTGCGTCATAACAGTGGTGCTTCCGTGCCATGTTTATTTGTTTTTACAAAAGTCGCGTGTTACGACTTTTTTCACTTTACAAAGCGCAGGCTATTTTAATTATTGTGATCAATTTGCGCCGTCAATCCCGGGGCATGCGCGCTTCATTTGCAGTCTGGACGCTGAGGATAAACTCCTCACTAAAATCCTGCGGCTCGGACTGCAGCGCTGAGAGGGATTCTTGTGGGAGAGGGAGAAAGGCGTTGGGATGGGGGAGGCGCCCCACGGCAGCAGCTGCCGCTGGAGGACAAGAGTAGGAACGATACATGCTTTCACGTAAGAGTCTCCAAAAGCCGCCAGTGACACCGTAAAAAGTCGCCAGATTTGTCGCTAGTCGCTTTTTAAAAAAAATAGTCGCTGGAGGGGTCTGAAAAGTCGCTGAGTTGGCAACACTGCAACTGCGGCGCTGACTCGCTCCGCCATATTTTTTTTTCTTCCCCGGGATGACGGCGGCGGCGGATGACGCATTAATCGCGCGACACAACTAATCGATGATTAAATTCGTTGCCAACGCTTTTAAAAGTCGATTTTTATCGATTTTATCGATTCGTTGTTGCAGCCCTATATCTGGTCCTTCAGGTCTCTAATAGGGTGATAGAATGATTCTATAGGGTATCTGGTCCTTCAGGTCTCTAATAGGGTGAT